GCCATCGCCGCGCACCCGTCTGGAAAAGACGCGGCACCTGTGAAGAGGAGAAAAGGCACAGTTGAGCCAGCGCGCTTCCGGGAGGGGCGGCTGAAGCCAGGAATCTCCGCCCAGAAGCCCTCCCGAAGTCCCGGGCCAAGCTTTCCCGCGGAAGAGCCGAGGGTACCTCAACGCTGGGGAGCCGGGCTCGCTAGGCGCCCGCCCATGATTTCCCTCGGAGGGAGTCGCCCCCTGCCGCCCTCACGCCCCTTTTAAGGAGGGGGAGGGGGCAGCTCAGCCCGGAACACTCCCGGACTTCCTTCGGAAGGTTGGAATACGGTCCAATGGTCCCCAGCCAGGCTCGGAGGCCCAGGGCGGGGGAGCGCAGCCTTCCCCCTTTCCTGTTTAGGAAGCGCTGGCGCCCTCAAACGAATTCGACTAAAACACCCGGCCTGCCGTCATGGCCATATTGACCGAGATTGTTGGGACTTATATTCCGATACACCTGGAGGGCAGGAGAGGAAGAAAAGCTCTGGGTGGGGTAGTTCTGATCCCCCGCCCACTGTACGGATGCGTTTGAGAGAGAAATATAGAGGCCGGTCTAAGTATGATTTCGCTTTCGGTCTCTCGTACCACCGGGGAAGGCACCTGGAGCGATGAGAGGAGCTGTCTGAGAAAAGATGGACTGCAACAGATTTTATAGGACTGCATCCGCTTTCCGTGAAAAGCACCTAAAAACTGACAATCCTCCTCGTTTCCATCCTTTTCAGAAGAGCTTACTCTCAGCTACGTGTGCGTAGAGTAAGCTCCTCTGAAAAGGATGGAAGCGAAGAGGAGGATTGTCAATCACGCTTCCATAGTTATTCTGTATGTATCTACTCAAAAGCCAATCGCGCTGAATTCGACGAATTTTAATCCTTGGGAAGGGGATACTGGACTGCAGCCTCGGTTTCTTTTAGGGAGATTTGCCTCCTTAATTCTTTCCTTTCTACCTTTGCCATTACAAGGCTCTTAAACGTACATTTCTAGAAGTACGAACAAGAACTTGGTGGCGCTTTAATATGAAACCAGCAATGAATAATCCCCAACATAATGCGACTTACGGCTACGGAAGTCGCATAGAATTGCGCGGCAAAGGTGTTTCTCAGGAGGGAAGTCCCTCACAGAGCTAAGTGGGACTTACATACGAGGAAAACCTAGGCTGTAATTTACATCCTGTAAAGCTGTATTACTATGCATACTTGTTTAGGGCCAAGCTCCGTTACGACTTACTCCTGAGTAAACTTCTCTAGTTAGCTGGAAACGATTTGAAACATACATTCTCCGGAAAGGATTCTGGGAAGTTCCAGTACAAATAATTCCATGCCTGTCTCCTCCAATGTAAAGCGTATTGATCTGAATTAAAACTACTGGCAGAGACGCGTGCAGTGAGCACTATTGAAGGCCGTAGTTCTTTACCGGCTTCTCTGCAGCGCAGAAGCGCTTCGTTCGCACGTGTTCTCTCAGTGGCTACAAGGCGGCTCTGCGAAGGGGACGCGGCCACAAGGATAATCGTGCGGGCAGACCTTGGTGGACGGGAGCACCAGCAGAGCATGCCATAAACTTGCGCTGAAAAGCTCAACTTGTATAAAGAGCACATATAGAAAGCGTATAATTAAAAAAAAAGGGGGGGTAGGGAGAAAGACCTAACGTAGCTTCTCGCCAGAATAAATCAAGTCCTTTCATTCTGCTCGGCTGCGGGATTGCTGCTTTCCCCAACCGGGTCCTAGGTGTATTTTGCTGGCTGGGGAATTGCAGGCACTTGTCTGGAGACGGCTGTCCTTACGCAGCAGCCCGCTGCTTCTTCAGGAGCCCCTTCTCCCCTCCCATAGCGCGCAGACCGAAAGCAAAGGGCGGAGGCTGGGAAAGACGCAGCCCCTCCGAGTGCAGAGTTGAGCCTGTACGCCGCCGCCTGTTAGAGGCAGGGGTGCTCCTTGCCAGCGCCGGAGGGAGGAGAGCGGGGTCTGCGGCCCCTCAAGCTCCCGGGTCTCTTCCCAGGGCGCTCCGGACCACCCTGGAAGTCCGATCCATCCGCCCCGCGTCGTCCGCCAAGGCCGGCGGCTGATAGGCGGGGCGGTCCCGGAGCTTCCCCCTCTTTCCTCCCCGGCCTGTGCTTTTCCTCTCCTGGGGATGGGAAGGGGGGAGGCGGCGGACTACGGCTCCGCGTCGAAGCTCTGAACCCGCTGCCCGGCTTCGGAGGTCGCCTGACTCTGCCTTTCCCAATGGAAGGAGCGCGGTGGTTCTCCCGCGCGCCGGTCACCTGCGCGGCACAATCAGCGGCCGCCCCAAGAGGGAGCCACGGGCTCCTCGGGGAGGACAGCGCGCCTCTCTCAGGCCCACCGGTTACGTCCCGTCCCTGCCTCCGGCCAGCGGCCCCAGAGCACCGCCACTCCCAGGCCTCGGCTACCTGCTGGCGGACGGCAGGTGTCGCCCAGCTCGGGTTTTCCTGCCTTCATCCGACGGGTTTACCGGGTCAATCGTGGTTTCCTCAAATAATCCAGATTCTCAGGACACCGTGAACCATAAATGGACTGAGTCCGGTGCTCAGGTCCGCTAAATTCAGCTGAAGCGAGCCGCTTGGTGTACGCATTTGTCCCCATGGAGGGTGCAGGCACCAGCGGGCACAGAGGAGCAGAACCGAAGCCTCCAAGCTGTGTTCGCACAAAACCCTGCACTCCACAATCTATAAGCGACCCAACTCAGAGCGCGGCTTCCTTCAGGCGTCTGGCTGACTCGGCCGCTTCAAACACAAGCTGGTCCGGTTTGGTTAGGCACTGGGCTTTGGAAACAATGCCTGGCTTAGCCGGGGAGCCCAGCCAGCTCGAGGCCAGTAATGGGAAAGTACGATGCCTTGAAATTGCAAGGACCCGCAGGGATGGTCAAAGAAGTCAAGATGGCGGCGCACATGAGCAACGGAGGCGTTTCAATCGCAACCTCGTGGCCATCTTACCTTTTTCGACCATACCTCGAGGATACCCCTGGACCTGAATCTCGCTGTGGGAGACAAAGGGGAGGAATGGGGCGGCAATTCTCTGTATAAAGTTAGATCTCCTCTTTCGAGCCCATCCCGAATTGAAAATTCGCCAGCGATTCCAGTTCCTGGATGATTATCCCAGGTTAGGCTATAACCGGGAGGATCCCATCCACGTCTGACCCAGGCGTGACTCGGCTTAGCTTCTCAGCCCCGACAAGGCCAGCTACCTGCCGCCAACCTTCGCAGAGTTTCCTGGGACTAAGCCCGCTAAGCGGCCTTGGAGCTTCTGGCTGCACCTTCTCTGGCGGAGGCGGGGGTGCCGCGCGAGCCACCTTCTGCTAAGGCCACCCGATCTGGGCCGCAGAGCTCCGGACGACCACCTTATGGCAGCAAAAAGACGCCGGCTGCCCCGTCTTCGTTCTCCCCTAGTGGTCGCCGGAAGGTCTGCAGCCCAAATAAGACCGCCCGGTTTTCTGGTCAAGCCGAGACGTAAGAAGAAAGCGGGAGGAGAGAAGGAAGCGGGCGACCGCTAGCTTTCGGGCCCGGACGCCGAGCGAGGAATGGAGACTTTTAGGCCAAGCGCTAAACGAATGGCCGAATTGGAGGACGCGAGCGCTCGGAGACTTTTCCGTTGCATTGAGAGGATGCGCTACGGGATCCCCTGGAAGCAAAATAAGAGGAGCTGCGCAGCCGACCCCGCGGGAGCCCCGGTTCTCGCCTTGGCGTTTTTCTGCAGGAGAAAAGCGGCCGCCTTCGCAACACCGCGGGGTCTGGACGGGCGCCCTTCGGATCAGACGCGCGGTTGCGTTTCTCTCCCCCTCCGCCCTTTCCCGGCCTTCAAGTCGTTTCGGAGAAAGTCCCCTCCAAGCGAGGACGTTTTACGAGTTCGCAGTTGGAAATCAGAGAAAGGATTAATTTCGAAAATATCCAAAGGCGCTTCTGCCGAAACGGATCGGTCCACGTTGCGTCCCTCCGTCTTTCTTCCAAGTGTTAGAGGGATTCGTCTTGCGCTTTCTTCTGCAAGCAGGGCTGTTGTTGGTTGTCATCTACCATTTCTTCGTTACTTTTTTTTTTTAATTGCCTAGGTGTCCGGGCAATTATATGTTCTCATGTTGTATTTGTAACCCCCTTTTGCTTACAAAACATTTCCTCTGCTGTTCACCCTCGTGGTTGGGATAAATAAATGCATGAAAAAATGTTGACCAGGAGAAAAGAGGAAGGCACCGTATCCACGGACGCACTCACCTAAACGCCTCCAATCGATATCAAGTGAACATTAACGAAAAGACAGAATCCCTCCAGAAGAGAAAGGCCGTGTATTTCCGAAGTTCCCGGCTTCGATTAATGCTCGTTACCATTTGCCAAACCATAGTTGGTTAAGCCACACATGACTTGGTTCACGCCTCGTGCTCAAAATATAAACCATGGTCCGCAAGCCACACTGTCTCTGTTCACACAATAGGCGATGTCAAAAGGAAACAATTTTCTGCCTGGGCGCGACGGGCAGCCCTCCTGAAGCGTTGGTCAGTTTCGGCTACGCTCCTCTTCAGCCTCCACTGAAAATGAGCGGCGAGAAAAGATGCGAAATTTCCCCCAACGTTCACCCTCCGTTAATGAATCAGAGAGAGCGAGGAAAAGCCACGATAACGTCTCTAAAGCAAAAGGTTTTCTACAAGCAGCTGGATCGGCTTTCTTTTGATTTTACCGGCGGGGGAATGCGCGTGTTTCATATTCCCGCAGCCAAGTAATAAGAATCGGAGGAATGGAGTTGTGCCCGCCGAGAAGAGAATCCCCGGAGAGAAACGGGGCTGAGGACGCGGTAGCCCCACTCGTGCTGGGGGCGGGGGGTCCGTCGATGAAATATTAAACCTGAGCTTCGCATGTGGGTTTGGGTTAGACCAATCGAA